TTCCCATCACTCATCACCTCCTCCACCATTGGACAACTCTGAAGTAATTAATATGTTGCAGTCCATGCAGTTAGATCAACAAACCTTCATGAGGAGTCAAGATACGCAAATGGAGGAGATCAGAGCTGAACTTCGTACTCAAAATGAAAGATTAAATTCATTTTCGACTCAGATGGACGCCCGTCTTGAAGCTCTTGTTGCATCACATGAAAGGCAAGACCTGGAAATCACCGACTGTCTTCATCACCTCAACATGTCCGTAGAAGCGTTTGTGGACTTCTCGGATCCTTACCGCAATCACGATGCCGCATACTGAGGGAGGGGCCAAGGTCGGGGTCAGGGATATTAGTTACATAGTTTCATATTGGTTTCTTCTGTGTACTTTCTATTTTTCCGTGTTATGTTTGCCTGAATATTCATCTACTTGCATGGTTTTCTTAATTATCTATTAATTCAAGTTACTTTTGTTCATTATCATTCTTATGTGTGAAGTTTGGTAATTAACTATCACCTCTTGTATGTTTTCTGTTAATTGATGCATTCTCCTTCTCTTTTTGATGTTGTCAAAGGGGGAGAAGAACATGTAGCAAGCAAGCACCAAAGCCAAGCCAAGTCAGGATATTCAAAGGATTAACAACAGTTGATGGCTGTTTGTTCTGCAGCCTTATATTACAAAAGAAAGGGAGAGCTTGTGTATACATTGCATATTGGTTGTTTTGGTTGTATAAAGGTTGTCATCATCAAAAAGGGGGGGAATGTGGAGGCAAATCGCCACACATCACACAAGTCTGCAAGACAGTGTTCAATACAGGTTTCGATGATGACAAATTACAGCCTTGGATAGATTGGAAATTATACTTGTATTAAAATTGTTGTAATAAATATGCTATGTGTAGATAAAATGCAATCATGACCAGAGGCATGAAAATCCACAAACTGATGGATTTTTGCAGATTTGCAGGGCATGAGTCGACCATAGGGTCGGCGCATGCATCAGAGCACTTTCCCACTGGTCAGCGCATAAAGGAAATGAGTCGACCATAGGGTCAGCGCATGAAGGAAATAGTTTTCAACGGGTCAGCACACGCCGAATGTATGGTCGACGCATACTGATGCAGTTTCCAGATTTCCAGAAAACACAGGCCATGCGTCGAAGCACAGACCTGTTGCGGTCAACCGTTCGCGCGGAAATCCTGTTTTTAAATGATTCCCTCTTCTATTTGAAATACTGTTATGTCTTAAATTGGGTTGATACTATATATACTTGTTTAACCACTTGTGTCATTTTAACATTTGATAACATTTGATTCATGTGTTCAAAAACAAGAAAGAGTGACATAGGTGTCCAAGATTCATCATCTTCATCTTCAACATCTCACAACACATCAATTACACACAACCATTTTTGAAGTGCATTGTGAGTGATTCAAGGTGATAAGGTTCGAAGCTTAGATTGGAGAATCAAGTTCGGGTTGAAGCTTGTGACAGGTTCTTTCTTGAATAAAACCGTTAGGGTTTTACCCTCCAAGATTGGTTTGAATTTTGGGGGTTTTGGACGAGATTCTTCATCAAGGGTCAACTGAGCAAAGGTGATTGTGAAGAGGTGTTCTTCACAAGTCTAGTAGTGGATTCAGTGATATTGAAGGGAAGATCTCGGGTTCGATTTGTTGTTGTTGAGATCAGCCGGAGCTGAAGGTTTGAACAACAACGTGTTATTCAATAAGGTGGCTGGAGTCGGAGGTCCATCAACAACAATCGGAGGACTTGATTCATCTTGAATCAAGGGGCAAGGAGGGAAAGCAACTTTCAACACATTGAGATTTCTGTTGTATATTTGTTGCTCAATCCTTGTATAAACTGTTACATTCAACAGGTGATATCTATAAAATCTATCTCAATTCTAGTTTTAGAATTGAGGGCAGACGTACCCCGAAGCGAGGACGACGGGGGAACTGCCTCACCAAATACTTGTCTTCTCTATTTTTCAGCATTTACGTTATAGCTCAAAAATAAGTGATTTTAGTATAAGCACTATTGTCAAACTGTGATATCAATTGAGTAAGAGGTTAAAACTTTGTTTTTGACTCCAAAGTACAATAAGACATTGTACTAGACTAGCTGGAATCACTTACTCAACATAAATATTACTTGGAGTGTTTTGCACACCAAGTGTTTGACAAATTGTTTAAACCAAAATTATCTTACTTGTGTATCTAGTTTTGGTTTGCTTCTTTAATCATTGGAACTAGGAATCCTAACAACTGAATTAGATCATTGATAAGTGTGATTAGTGTTGTGATTCTATTTTCCATATTGTCATTGATCCAAAGGCTTACGCATATCCGGTTTTCCAATAACCGTTCGTTTTAGACTATATTTTCCTCGGCCGCTTCTGCACTTAAAACGACTTTTCAAAACCAATTTTAAATTGGTAGCGCCGACTCAAATTTTAATTGGGGATCTATTGAACCCCCCCCCCCCTTCTAGATCCGTGCCATAGTCTAACACATAAGAGTTTGAAGTATTTCTTTGATCAGAAAGAATTGAATGCGAGGCAAAGGAGATGATTGGGACTTCTGAAGGATTATGGTTTTAGTTTGAATTACCATCCGGGTAAAGCAAACGTGGTAGTTGATGCATTGATTTGTTTACATATGTCGATGATGGTAAGAGAGTTGGAAATGATTAAGCAATTTCGTGATATGAGTTTGGTTTGTTAAAAGACTTCTTATGGAGTTAAGATTGGTATGTTGAAGCTTACTAGTGGTATTCTTAATGAGATTCGAGAAGGTCAGAAATCTGATTTGAGTTGGTAGATCGGTTGAATTTAATGAATCAAAGTCGAAGAGCTGATTTTCGAATTAATGAAAAGGGTACCATGAGATGTCGTGATAGAGTTTGTGTTCCAGATTTTGTTGAGTTGAAAAAAATTATTCTTGAGGAAGGACATCGAACTAGATTGAGTATCCATCCCGGTGCTACGAAGAGGTACCAGGATTTGAGGAAATTGTTTTAGTGGCCAAGGATGAAGAAAGAAGTGGTCGAGTTTGTGTATGTTGGTTAGACTTGTCAGAAGTCGAAGATTGAACATCAAAGACCATTGGATCTTATGCAACCGTTGAATATTCCAGAGTAGAAATGGGATAGTATTTCCATGGATTTTGTGTCGGTTTGTCAAAGACTGTGAGGGAGAATGATTCTAATTGGGTGATTGTGGATAGATTGACTAAATCAACTCATTTCATATCAATGAGGATTAATCGTTCTATGCTGAAGCTAGTTGAGATGTATATTGAGGAAATTGTGAAGTTGCATGGGATACCGTCGAGTATTGTGTCAGATGGAGATCCGAGATTTACATCGAGATTCTGGAAGAGTTTGCAAGACGCTTTGGGTACCATGTTGAGATTGAGTTCAGCCTATCATCCGCAGACGGATGGACAGACAGAGAGAACTATCCAGTCTTTAGAGGATTTGCTGAGAGCTTATGTGTTGGGTCAAGGTGGATCGTGGGATGGTCATTTGCCGTTGATTGAGTTTATCTACAACAACAGTTATCATTCTAGTATTGGAGTGGCACCGTATGAGGCATTGTATGGTAGGAGATGTAGGACTTCTCTGTGTTGGTATGCGTCAGGCGAGAGTGTTATGCTCGAACCTGAGATTGTTCTCCAGACGACTGAAAAGATCAAGAGGATCCAAGAAAAGATGAAAGTTTCGCAGAGTCGTCAGAAGAGTTACCATGACAAGAGGAGGAAAGCACTTGAGTTTCGAGAGGGAGATCACGTGTTTTTGAGAGTTACGTCGGTAACTGGTGTTGGCCGAGCTTTGAAGTCTCGAAAGCTCACACCACATTTTGTTGGTCCGTATCAAATTTCGCAGAAGGTAGGAGGAGTAGCATACCAGATTGTTTTACCGCCGTCGCTTGCGAATTTGCATGATGTGTTTCATGTGTCTCAATTGAGGAAGTACATTCCAAATCCGTCACATGTGATTCAGATGGATGATGTACAAGTGAGAGATAATTTGACTGTTGAGGCATTGCTAGTACGGATTGATAAACGAGAAGTGAAGCAACTGTGAGGTAAAGATATTTCCTTAGTAAAGGTAGTTTTGTGAGGACCAGCTGGAGAAAGTTGGACTTGGGAGCATGAGGATCAGATGAGGGAGTCGTATCTGACTCTATTTGCAGCGATTGATTAACAATCCACGATCTCGGAAACACGATCACCGAAGTGTGATTCTTGAAAACACGACCAAGAATCTAACCGGAACTCTAGATACCGATTTGTTAGTGCGTGAAACACTTTTAGTGAAGAGAGAGAAAGGAAATAAGGATTGTATTGTTAAATTATAATTATACAAAACTCAATTATAAAATATTTATTTATATAAATTTAAGTGACTTGACTACTAAATAACAAATATAACAAACTTTAGTTAACTTTAAATTTAATCATCCACAACTTAGATTATATTAGAGTGCCTTATTGACCAGTAGCATAATCTATTTTCTTAAATTTCAAATACTCAGATTTAATACAGTACTACTAGTACAAAAACACAATACAATAATGTCAACATTTGAAAAGATTATACAGCTTAATGCACTAAAATTAGGCTGTTTATTCTCATTTGACAGCACTGTATTAAGTCTTGAAATTGAATGCATAATATGTCCGTTCCTTATTTGGTTAGGATCTTATAGAATAATGTACAAGTTCATTCTAAAAATTTCCAAATATAGTAAAATCAAATATCATTATAGTTAATTTGATAATCTTTATTATTTATGTACCCTGACATTGTAAACCAAGAAAAACACGAAATCACTTTAACCAAAATACAGCAAGTTAGAGATCTATCATATTCATATTCCTAACTTAAATTAAGACAAGTAAAAGTAGAAATATGGGATATAAAATATTAATGCCACAACATGGTTATATAAAGGTACTACTACATGAAAGTGTTTCTCAACAAATTTTAATCTCTTCATTATGACAAACTTGAGACTATTTCTCATCACTTTCTTCTTTGTCTTGCTCACCATCACCAATGTAGTTCCAAACAAAGTTGAAGCTGCAACAACTCGTGCTTTCTTTGTTTTTGGTGACTCACTTGTCGACAATGGCAACAATAATTATTTAGCAACCACGGCCCGCGCCGATTCTCCTCCTTACGGCATTGATTATCCAACTCATCGTCCCACCGGCCGCTTCTCCAACGGCGTCAACCTCCCTGACCTTATGAATAAGTAACACTTCATCTTCATCATATTGTTATCCATTATATACTAACATATGAATGATTATGATGTAGGCCAGTATATGGGATTTTCTGAACCCACATTGCCATACCTGAGTCCTGAATTGATCGGACAAAAGCTATTACTTGGAGCCAATTTTGCTTCGGCGGGAATCGGAGTCCTGAATGACACCGGCGTTCAATTTGTAAGTCACTAATTCTTCTACACGCATTCATCCATTGACTGTTAGATTGAAATCAGACAATTTTCTTATTTCGATCTAACGACCGAGTGAATGCGTCAAACTCTAACTACAATTATATGCATGCAGGTTGGGATATTAAGAATGTTTCAACAGTTTTCAATGTTTGAGCAGTACAAACAAAGATTGAGTGTAGAAGCAGGGGCTAATGAAGCAAATAGAATCGTGAGTGGAGCATTGGTACTCATAACACTTGGTGGTAATGACTTTGTCAACAACTATTTTCTCACTCCAGTTTCTGCTAGGTCTCGTCAATTCACCGTGCCACAATTCTGCACCTATGTCATCTCCGAGTATCGAAATATTCTTATGGTGATTCCCTCTAACACTCAATGTAGATTAGATATGATTCATCTATGACGTAACAATTTGAAGTTTTGTGCTATAGCCTATCTTGCACACCCTCAGGGACGGTTTGGTCGTTGATTTATCGATTATGGAATTCCTTTTTGTAATGCAGAGGTTGGTTGAGTTGGGAGCTAGGAGGGTGATTGTGACAGGAGTTGGTCCATTAGGGTGTCTTCCATCTCAGCTTGCTACAAGAAGCATAAATGGAGAGTGTGTAAAAGAAATACAACAAGCTTCTCAAATTTTCAATCCACTTCTAATTGAAATGACTAAGGATCTCAACACCAAACTTGGCTCTGATGTGTTTATTGTTGCCAATGCTTATCAAATGAACATGAATTTCATCACCAACCCTCAAAACTTCGGTGATCTTATGTTTTTATTTCATTCAACTTTGGTCACTATTATAACAAAATAGTTTCATTCAGATTTATTGAATAACTGATGTATCTGATCTATATTTATATCAGATACATCAGTTACTTCATGAAACTGATCTATATTTATATCAGATACATCAGTTACTTCATGAAACTGTAAGAAGAAATTTTGACCGTCAAACTAAACAGTAATTTTGTGTGATGAATAGGTTTTGTTACATCAAAGGTAGCTTGTTGTGGTCAAGGACGTTTCAATGGAGTGGGACTATGCACTCCCTTATCAAGCCTATGTCCAAATCGTGATGTGTATGCATTTTGGGACTCTTTTCATCCAACTCAACGTGCTTTGGGATTTATCGTTGAAGCTATCTTTAATGGAACCTCTGATTTAATGAGCCCTATGAACCTCAGCACCATATTGGCCATGGATAACAACATCTAATAAAAGGCCTTCAATTATATATAAGTATTTCTTTGCAAGAGGCTAAAATGTCATTCTCATTGTTTTTTTTATTTTGATGTTTGGATCAAGTTTTTCATTATGTGTCTTGATTAATCCATGCTAATTTTTTTTTGGTAATAGTTGAATTTTTCATTCTATATTTTTCTATCAATAATATCTTTTAAAGTCTATAGTCTTAAATCATGTAATCAATGCATGACTTTATTACCAAACTACTAAGTATTAGTCTTTTTTTATTAATAACTCATCAAGTTCCTAAAAGTAATATTAAATTGTTACTTTGTTGACTTTTTTTTTCTTGTCCATGATTCTCTTCAATTTTTAAAATTTCTTTTAACATACTTTTAATTATATTCTTTTTATACTATATAATAAATACAGTTACGTACACATTAATTATTTTTCTCTTTTAAAAATAAATTATAAAATTATATAAAATAATTAATAAATTTAATACTTTAACCAACTTTTTTAATCCGTAATTTTTTCAAGAGATATTATATTTAAAGATCAAGACAGTATCTTACAAATTATTCATCTCATTATTATGAGCGCATTTCCTTTACATATATAGGAGTACTCTCATCAAAGTTGTGGTCCTAGCTATGTCATGACCACATTTCTCCTCTCGAAAGGAGTTTTCAATCAAATGGAGAGAATAATTTGTAACTTTTGGTGGCAGCAAAAGGGATTCAAGGAAACTTCACTGGATTAAGGGGAAGAATTGATGTAAATGTAAAAGAGATTGTGAGACTGGATTTAGGACTCTGCAAGTATTTAATGCAATTATTTAATAAGGTTTTTTTTTTATGAAATTAGTTAAGAAGTTTGGAGAAAGAGTGGAAGAGAGGTTTTCGAAAATAAATTTTTAAAAATACATAAGAAAATATTTGATATTTTTTTAAAGAAACATTTTATATAAAATAATAAAATAATATTTATTATTACTACATTTTTTAATTTTTAAAATATTATAATAACATAAAAATATTTGAAAAATTTTATGTAAGATCTCCAAAATCCTCATTCAATATAAATTTTAAGTTTTTTAAATAATGAAGATTTTGTATTATCAATAAAAACAAATCCTCCAAAGCCCTTCTGACTTAAGTCTTTCTATTTTTTATTCAATTCTTTCCTTTTTTCAAAATCTTCGTCTCCCTTCTCTTCCAAACTCCCAAACAAAACCTAAGAGTCTTCACTTGAATATTTTTGTCATTAATGATAGACCTTAGATGAAGCCTAACTTATGGTGGATTTGTGATGATCATACTGATCTTGTTGTTATCGAAACTTCTGACCAACATGCCATTAATGATAGGCCTTAGATGGAGCCTAACTTATGGTGGATTTGTGATAATCATATTGATCTTGTTGTTATCGAAACCTCTGACCAACATGTCACTCGCCAGGTTATTCATAATAATTCATATTATAGAATTGATATTATTAAAGCATCTATTAGTTATATTAACAAAAAGAGCTATAGAAAAACTTAAGTGATAAAATTTATATGATAAGTTGTTTACACTGGAAATTGATAAACAATCGCTAGTCTCTTGATTAAAGGTTGCTTTCAGAATCGACCAGTGAATCTTAGGATATTGCTAAGCAAAACCTTGTTTTAATTATCTATTGGTAAACAACCTATATTTGACTTAGTCGAAATATTGATTTAAGTGACTAAAAGGATGCAAAAGATGTCAACTTTAACTACTTTAAAAATGTAAAGGAAATGTAACCGAGACTAAAAGTGTAAAGTAATGTAACTTGAGCAAGATTGAAATTAAATTGATGGGACAAGGTAAAATGGAATTTAAAAACTTTGCATTAAAAGTAAAGGATGATGTTTCGTTGTTCATACATTCTCTCAGTCATGAATCTTTTCTATGGACGCTAGTACTTCGAGTTTTACGTGAGACTTTTGTAGTAAAATGAACACACATAATTCAACATAATGAACTCATATATATACAAGTACAAAAACTAACTACTTCTAACGTTTCTATCTTCAGAGTTTGCAACGTGAAGCTTTGTATGCAACCCGTCTCTGTGTTTTCTCCACGTGTCCTTAAAAAAGAAACCCAAAAACAGTTATTGGTATTTGAATGTAACATTTGCGCGTTCAAATAACCGCCTCTTTCAACCCATCCGATGTTGTCGAAAAATACTACTCAGTCAAGATGTTCTTACAACATCCCAAAAACACTAAGTCCAGAATCTCGCCGAACCAAAACTCCTATGTACACGTCATCAGTGTACCTTCACCTTTTCCTTTACTGAGATTTTTACCCTTATCGAAAATCACAGCTAACAAATTACCCCCAAAAAGGCCTATTTCAACGAACCTAGGAGATATGGACATTTTTTATCCTTTCATATACTATTCACCTATTGAGTTGACGTCATGATCATCATGGCGTTTCTTTCAATTGTAACCTCGAAAATGTATGTGTGGCTACGTGTAACAGGCCATTTCAATTCCTCCTTTAGGGAGATGTCACATGTCACCTGTTTCGCGCCAACTGTTTACTTGTGAAGACTGAAGAGTCTTTGATTCCTCAACTATAAATAGCGTTTTTCCTTCTTTCCTCACTTTTCCACCGGCGTCTTCTGAAACTCTGCTCTCAAAATGTTATCTTTGAAATTTCTCAAAAATTTCAAAGCTTTCCAACAATGGCTTCTTTGAACAAGAATAACAAAGCTGTTAAGGATACTCTCCCTATGGACAACATGTTGACTAGAGCCACTGTGGTAGGAAATCGAGATTATGTTCTAAAACCTCCAAACTTCGAGGAAAAGCTTTGTATCTATAAATCTTAGGTACTCATTCCCTACATCATTTTTGGAACGAATCATGCCCTTATGGGTCTTATGTTTGACCCTTCAGAGGACATCCATAAGTTTAGAGATTTTTTCCATGCTTATCATAGGACAAAACCCCTAGTTAGTGTTAAGGGACCTATTAATCTAGAATACTTAACCACCACTCTGCGAGTCTTTCTCTCATCTCCCCAAACCAAGAAACACAATGATTACATCGCTTAGTTAGATAAGATAGAAGTTAAGATGAGTGAAATCTAGAAAAAAAAAACAAGGTATCTTCGACTTGATCCAACTATCTAGAATCATCCTAGACTACTTCCAAAACATGTTTGTCACATCCTTTTACTATTGGGAAAGCACCACCAATACATTTCAACTTTCATGCGAAATGTTGACGCCCACGCTCTTCGACGTGGCAACCACATCGATCTACGCCCCACTGGTGATAATTTTGACCCCAACGAGAACAATGAATACAACATTGACTTCGACAACAATCGTGTTGGCTTCACTAAGTACATCGAAGATTATCATGTCATTGATACTTCTGAAGTCACTGATGAGGAACATAATGCATTCCTAGCCTTTTGGATGTCCAAATGCATCTTTTATTGTCGATCCTTCAAGGTGGAGAAGAGGTAATTGACTTTTTCCAATCAACTACGTGAAGGAAAAGATGTATGCCTAAGCCAACTACTCTTGGGGCCACTATACGAGTCCCTAAGAGAGGCTACTGAAGCTTTGAGTAACATCAAAACCAAGGATGACCCACTACTTGCTGGGCCATTTTATTTACTTCAGTTGTGGCTCAATGCCACATTCGAAGCTTCCATGAAGGTTAGGCGTCCTGACGACACTGATGTCATCATTAGTGGAAGAAGCATTGAAGGTGTTCAAATGAACCTTTTGACACCCACCGTAAGAATAGGTCAGACTGAGAAGCACTTTTTAATTACTTCTTGATGTTCGCCAAGCGCTATATCTTTACTGTGACTATGGCCCCTTTCTCTAAAAGAACCCACAGGTCAGAATGGTTCACCCGACAACTTCCAGGCACTAGAGAAAAAGAAAAGAATCCAAGAAGATATGGGAAGCCTTCTTGATTCCTAAACTCCTTTCTGTCAGACTTGAATCCTCAAAGGAACACATAAGGATCCTTAGTTATCACCCTAACCCAATGTCTCGCCAATTTGAGATCAGCCAAACTATTCCTCAACTGTTCTTTAAAAAGAAGATTGGATTATGCCTCAGTACCATCAACTACTCTGTGTACGATTATCTTCAAAGGCTTGCTCAACATGTTGATGGTTTCCCCGCTCTCACTCTGTTTGCTTTTGAATATATTATTAATGTTCGACGTTAAGGCATTATAAGGGATATACGATGGTGTGGCATTCACTGCATTGTCACTAAAGGTTGACATATTCGTCTGAAGATTAGTCATCATATACGTTGATATACCATAAGGGTATTCTCTGCCACTTGGTGGCATTAAAACCCCAAACAAAGGTCTTTCAATTACAGGGTTATAAAGGGGAATCCCTGATTGTGGCGGGGGTATAGCCCCTTGCGATGGTATCGCTGCGACTGGCGTCATTGTTACCATCGAAGCAGTTGTCCTAACTGGTGTTGAGATAACCAGATCTTCAACCATCAACACGGATGGTTATTGCACTACATTTTGAGGATTATTCTGGGAATTGATATTATCTATAGGAGGACGCGACATTTTGGACAAAGTCTTTCCACTCCTTAATTGCATACAAACTACCCAGAAAAACTCATGAACATAGAACAAGTTTTAAAATAGAGCAAAACAAAAATATATGTAAAAAAAAAGATGTAAAACTTAGCACATGTCCCACTGAGCATGCCAGTTTGTTTACGCTGGATATTGGTAAACAGTCGCTAGTCTCTTGATTAAAGGTTACTTGCAGGATCGACTAGTGAATCCTATGACATTGCTAAGAAAAACCTTGTTTTAATACACTATTGGTAAACAGTCTATCTTCGACTTAGTCGAAATGGTGATTTAAGTGACTAAAAGGATGTAAAAGATGTCAATTTTGACTACTTTAAAAATGTAAAGCAAATATAACAAAGACTGAAAGTGTAAAGTAGTGTAACTTGACAAAGATTGAACATAAATTGGT